CAAAACCCACTGAACCCATCCTGTGGCTTTAGTGCTAGCTGGACTGGAAGGGGGCTGCTCTTCTCTTTTATCCCGAAGTGAATAACCAGTAGAGTGGGGTGGGCTGTGGATGCTTAGCCATAGGAAGATGCCCTGAGAAACTCATTCTCTATGTATCAAGAGTTGAGGACTAGCTCCTCCAGGTTTACTTACTAAATTCTACAAAGAACAGCTCATTATTCAGCTTGTAAGAATCCCTGTTGAGCTCTACAGAGCTTCCAGACGAATACTTCTATTTTTCTGTTATTGTTTGTTTTAAACATTACCTCTTCACCAAAACAAAAATTAATAAGCCTGAAATAACAATGGGAAGAGGGCCAAGTCTCCTCAGAGACTCCTTTGTTCTTATTCTTTCTCCATTTGAGACATAGTCACACCCTCGCAGCCAGATTGTACTGGTTGCAGGAGAGAAGTGAGAGTGGTTGGAGCATGCAGGGCCAGAGGATGGGGCAGCCAGAACAGGGTGCCGGCTGGCTGGAGGGGGAGCTGCCTGGGAACTGAGGAAGCTGTGCTGGCCTAACTCTGATCATTTTAATGTCCCTAATTCACATCTCCAACCCCAGGGCGTTGGAACTTCTGGTGAGGGAAATTGCTAGAATCCAAACATTTTCCAGTGATGCCCCAGCAAAGACCAGTCTTCACACACAAACCTACCTGATTCTTCGGACAGACTTGATCAGAAATCAGTACTGGGGGGTGTGCAGAAGTCTGTGCCTTGGAGCAGAGCCTCATCAGAGTCCCCTGTGGAGTTCCTGGGTGCTGCTTGGGAGAGGATATAACTAATTAGCTCATTGGAGAGGACAAACCAATTCAAAGGCCTTCCTGAAGGCTAGCCAATGCATATGCTAATTAAGTGAATTGGATCTTAACTTCTTAAAGGAAGGAGCCCTGCAAAGAAAGTAAATGCCTTTCCTTGAAGAAATTGTCTATAAATCCTTCAATTTTGCTTATTTTAAGTGTCTTTACCCACATTTGTCCAAATAAGTGAGGCTTTACCATTTTGGGCTTTTTCTCTGCAGAGTGAGTTTTAGGTCTTCGCTGGAGGGATCGTTTCTGTTTGACTCCAGCCTCTCCCACTTTTTTGGCTGAACCGGAATCCAGGAAACCCAGCAACAGTCTTAAGGTTTCATTGTCTTTCCTGTGGAAATGAGAATTCAAATGCCCACTTTGGAACTCTCTCCCTATTGATGCCTGTTCTTCATTTCTAACTTTCTCCTCCACCTGCTTTTCCACTGCCTGGTCTTTAGGTAAAAGTATTTCTATTTGGTACAGTTTCCCCTCCCTCCCACCCTGGTCCTTAAGGGGTCACTATGTCTTACGTGGCTTCAGAGACCCCATGGAAGGCAGTGCTGCCATAGTGGAAGCTCCTGTTCCTTCAGCGCTCCTCCATGGGTACCCCACATGCTCTTGTAAAGTTCTAGTGAGGGTGTGGTTCCCTCGCTCCTCACACTTTAAGGAAGGCACCACAGCACTACACGGGCTTATATTTTCAAAGATGCTGCGAGGCAAATCCAATACAGACCTCAAACGTTCTATTAAAGCAGTGCGTCTCAACCAGAGATGATCTGGGCCAGACTCCTAGACATTTGACCAATGTGAGAGACATTTCTGGTTGTCCCAACTCGGGAGAGGGGTGCTACTGGCCTCTGGTGTGTAGGGGCCAGAGGACTCTACTGCACATCCTATAAGGCAGTTCCAAGGACCAACTCCAGTAGAACCAAGGTTGCAAATCCTGCGTTAGAGGAATTCTTTTCTTCCTTTTCCTCAAGGCCTGGGAATAAAGAAAGAAAGTGCTCCATTTTGATGAGTACACACACCCTGGTGTCTTACATCCCATATGGACCCAGGAATTGGAGAGGAGAAGAGTACCATGGAGCAGGGCAAAGTGCAAGGTCGAGGCAGGCCTTCGCCTCACCAACAGCTGTCTCAGCTCCAAGGAGAGACAACTTTGACCAAAGAGAGGACCCAAACATTACAAGGATGTTTAGTTTGTGATAAAAATCATTTTGCAGATTAAAGTGCTTCCTCTTTCCCATAAAATGGTATGTTCTTTAAATAACTCAGAAATAAGAGGCATGTGACCATGTGGTGAGCAGGAGGCAGGACCCAGAGCCTGGTCAATTAATTCCATCCCTGTAATGGAGCTATAGGTGGTGGTGCTCTATATGCCTAAATGCTGCTTGCTGCTGTCCACGCGAAGGGATTCAGGTAGTTTCCCGGAACCAGTTTCTCCCTGCGTCTCTTGGCTCCATTCTCCCTCACTCTCTGGCTGCTCAACCAGCCAACCTCACCTCCTCTCACATCCAAGCCCCCTGAGGAGGAGGGAGACTCTTTCCCAGGATTCTCAGCAAAGTCACAGTGTCTCTCATTGGCGTTGATTGGGTCAGATGCTCATCCCTGACCAATGGCCAGGGGGATGCTCGGAGCTGACTGGCTGAGGCTGAGGTGACACCCCTGAGCCTCTTGTGACCCATGTGTGCTGGAAGTGGGGCAGGTGTGTTGCCTTAAAGAAAAATTGGGGCCCTAGCGGGTTTGGTTCAGTGGATAGAGTGTCAGCCTGTGGGCTGAGGGGTCCCAGGTTCAATTCTAGCCAAGGGCACATGCCTGGGTTGCAGGCTCCATCCCCAGTAGGGGACATGCAGGAGGCAGCCAATCAATGATTCTCTCTCATCATTGATGTTTCTATCTCTCTCTCCCTCTCCCTTCCTCTCTGAATAAAGAAATATATTTTTTAAAAAAGAAGAAGAAAAATTGGGGTGAGATCATCAAAATAGGAAGAATGGATGCCCAGGATAATAAACACATACCCCACAGACACCCCACACACATACTGCCCCCACCTCCCCCCCACACACACACTCCTTGCTGTTAAGAAGTTTTGGATTCTGCAGTGGAAGACTCAAGCCCTTGCCCTGACTTTGTCCTTAGTGCCTGGCTTTGCTACTAACTGGTTGCATAGTTTGAGATAACCCCACAGCTCTCTCCCTGCCTGCTTTTTATAACTTGCATCATGGAAGTAGTGATGCTATTAGGGTGGTTCTGAAAATCGAGTGCACACGAGTAGTTGTTTTAGATGCCAATGAATTCAGTTCAGCTTCTAGGATCCAGAAGAATCTAGACCAGCTACAACCCACCCAGCTGGTCCATGGCTGTCACTTCGGAAGCCGGTGTCTAAATTTATCCCAATCCTCATTGTTGCAGGTCAGTGAGGGAAATCTTCTGAGGTCAATGAGTGAGGTAATTGGCTTGCTGTGGATCTTGAAAAAATCTCTGTTAAATGACATAATTGGTTTTAATTATATAATTACGGCACTTAAAGTGTGGGGGTGAAAGGTTACTATTATATTTAGAAGTGGGATCCCCAAATGAAGCCAGGGTGTTTGAGCCAGTCTTTCTTCGAGTTTCTCTTTTTATTTTTTCAGAGGGAAGTCAGAGTAGGCTGGCCTTGGCCCTGGCCATTTTGGGATGATTATCCGACATGAGGTAGTGCTGGGACTGCTCACAGCATCACAGGGACCTTTGTAAAGAGACGGGAAAGGGCTTCCGTAAAGACCCCATTGTGATCTGAAGTTAATGAGCAGTGGGAACTCAACTGTCAGCAATTGAATCTGATTGGGCAGGGTAATTATATGATTGCCTCTGGTGTTTGCACATGCACGGGGATATTTTTATTGGAAAAAACCTAATTGCTTACTTACTTAGTGGAGGGAAAACCTAAACAAATTTGTGTTGTCATCGGTTAAAAAAGACATCCTTTCTTTGTCTGAAAAATAGCTGCGTGCTCCGCTTTTTAGAAGTGAGGGTTTTGTTTCTCTCTGTGTTTGCAGGACTTGAATGATATGATAATATGAAAATGTAAAGGGAAGCTACTTTGGACTGCATTTTGGTAAAATGACCGCGTACTTATCGCCATGTCTTAAACCATCCCCTTCCATGGTCTCTTTCATGCAAAGGCAGCTAGAACCCCCGGCAACACTCAAGCTACTGGGACTTGCACAGGTTTTTGTTTATTTTGCTGTGTCCTCCTGCATGGAGGCCCCTGGCAAGATTGGCTTCATCAGCTTTCTGGGTTTCCTTCTTGCTCCCCCTGCGATTTCCTTGGAGGAAAGGGAAGGGCAAAGTGAGAGCCGAAGGGAAGAAGCCGAAGTGCAGTCCAGGGTCTTGTTCCGACTGCCCGGAATGAGGATGGCAGGTCACTCACCCGCCATGCTGGTGTGTAGAAAGCAGATGGCTGGGTCCATTGTGTAGTGCTCAACTCGGCATTGTGGTTGCTTTTCTATCTTCTTATAGAACAAACTATTTTCCAAGTTCTTTCCTTTCCTGAGATCCCAACGTGAAGAGGTCGAAACACGACTGGATTGTGGGGATTGGAGGAGCAGCCTGTGATGAGAGCTGCAGACCCCAGACCTGGTGCTCTGGTTGGGTGGAGGGTTACAGGCTGGAGAATGGCCGAGAACAAAGGGCTTTCAGTCCCTCACGCCTGCCATGCTTTCTCATCTCAGATTCTTGCATGTTCTCAGACTCTTGGACACACCCCAGACTTGTCTGGCTAACTAAATGGGTCCTCTGGGTTCCGTGTTAAAAGTCACTTCTTCCAGGAAGCCTTCCATGATCACTGACCAGCAGTCTGGGTTGGCTGCCCTTGCTTTATGCTCCTTCTAAGTTCCTTTGTCCTTTAATTGCTTGTCTCCTTGTTCAAAACGGCCCATGAGCTCCATTAATTGCTTGTCTCCTTGTTCAAAACGGCCCATGAGCTCTATGAGGACCGGGCTTGTGTTTCTATCTGTCACTCCTATATCCCCGGAGCCTGGCACAGTGCTTGATGAGTGTGTTTGGAATGACTGAATTAGGAGAGGCATGGTCGCTGGGTGTCGTAGGGCATCGTGGTGTGTGCTGCATGGGCTTCCCTACCCTTGCTGTTAATACCGCTCTCTTGTTGCTTATAATTTTCATTGCCCCAGATGATCCAGCTCTGTTGGAGGCACGGAGGCACAGTCAAATCTCATGCTGTACATTGATCACCTGTCCAACCTTTGCCTAGAGTGGGAGCCCCCAGTTCCTTCAAGAGATCCACCTTTACCTGTCTTAAAGAAGAAGAGGAGGGAGCCAGCGGGAGGAGCCGTGGCAGTGTAACGCCAGAGCAGGTCCGGTGTTTACTTGTACCCTTTTGGAGGTGGGTAACTGCAAATGCCGTGGGGAGCGGGCTTTCCGAGCAAATCTGCCTCTGACCTTATTCGGGTGCTCGCACGCACTTCAGTTTTTCCTGGCGTGTAGGGATCGCTATTTTTGCATTTAATTCGTAGACCGTTCCATGATTCCCACCAGCATAGAACAAGAACCCAGGTTCCTCATCCACATGAGGCAAATTGTCACATGGGCCCTGTGCTGTTTGTGTCTTGCTTTGTGGACAGAGAGTACAGTTCACTCATTGGTTCCTGCTTCATGACTATTCTAGTTGTTTGCTCTTTAACATCTATGGTTTTCAATGGTCTTTCTTGCTTTGGTTCGCTGGCTTTTGATGTTTTGAATCCCCTCTCCCGGGTCAACTTCCTAGATCATGAGATCCTGAATAACTCCTGAATAGATGAGATTTCGTTTAGGACCACGCCTTGGTGTTTAATTATAGCCCTCCACAATCTCGGGTATATCTGACCAGCTTTTTCCCTAAGCAGAATATGAACCTATGACCGTGTAGGCCTCAGGCAAGAGGGCTTCCTAAGGAACCCGCAAACCCCCGGCCATCCCTAAGTTTGGACTGCCCATTGTAGGTGAGGCCGCAGTCCAGTCGTCATTTCTGGGTGGATGGGCATTTGCATGTGGCAACCACAGCCTCACTGCGGCGGGCAGGAGGAGCTCTCAGAGTCTGGCTGCTTCTTGCAGCGTGGTCTCTCCTCGGTCTGAAGCATTTTCTTCCTCTGCTGGTTCTGAGTCTCTGTTTACTTTATATCCACCAGTTGCATCTCTGCTTTGTCATCATAAACATCTAAACTGGAACCTTTGAGGGTTCCTTCAAGAAGGAGAGTTTGAACAACCTCTTCTTTTTTTTTCATGTCTTTTATTTATTTATTTATGTTTATTTTTTCATTACAGTTTGCTTTCGATATTATTTTGCATTGGTTTCAGGTGTACAGAAGAGTGGTTAGACAATCATAGTCTTTACAGCGCTCCCCTGATATGACCAGTACCCACCTGCACCACCCACAGTTGTCGCAATGTTACAGGACACCTCTTCTTAGAGCGCGTGTGCTCACCAACGCTGTGCACTTTGACCCTGGCAGGATGGGCCATGGTGGGCTTGGCCATGAATTCCAGGCAAAGCGCATTTTGTTTTCGGTTCGAACAGCACCAAGGATGCCTCCCCACCTCACACCCTTTCTGGACTGAGGCAGGCGATTACTGCCTACAGAAATTACCATCCAAACAAAAAAATCTTTGCGTGGCATCTGATTTATAATTAAACGTGGCGCTGCAGTGTCTGAAGCATCTCATCCTGTGTAGTCACCCTCTATTTCCTCTCGGAGTTCCTCTGCATGCAGCGTAGTCCCGTTGTCACCTGGCGAAGGACTCGTTTTAGAAAAGAAAAAGGGAAATTAGAATCAATGATTGCCATCGTAGGTCGAACTCAAACCACTGATAGTTTCTATTGTTTTGCTGGAGAAAACACTTTCATGTCCCTTCATTGACTGATTTACTTATTCAGCAAACAGATTTGTCTGTTTTTTTTTAACTTATGGAGTTTTCTTTCTTTTTAAATTTATCTTTATTGTTGAAAGTATTACAGATGTCCCCTTTGCTTTTGCTTTTTTTCTTTCCCATTGACCCCCCCCTCTCTTCCAGGCCTTGCCACACTTTTGTCTGTGTCCATGGGCTATGCATATATGCTTACAAGTTCCCCGGTTAATATCTACCCCCCGCCTTTGCCCTCCTCACCCCCACCCTGCTCCCACCTTCTCTCTGAAATTCATCAGTCTGTTCATGGTTCTGTGTCTCTGGATAAGTGCCCTGCCTGGACCAGGAAGGGCTTCTGAGCATCACCTGGGACCTTGTTAGAAATGCAGATTCTTGGGCCCCACCCAGACCTTCTGAATCAGAAGCTCTGCAGGTTGGGGGTCCAGCAGCTGGGTTTGAAAGAGCTTCCTGGGGATGCTGCTGCTGCACACAACAGTGTGAGAGCTGGTGGCGTGAAACCTGTGTGAGTGTGTGAGGTGAGGGCAGCAAGGAGTGCACTCTCCCCATCGTCAAGGGGCTTGTGGTCCAGTCAGGGCACACGGCATCATCCATCAGTGAGGCAGAGTGAACTTCACGAAATGTGAATTGCTTCATACACTCACTTCCTAAGTCCCTCCGGGCAGTTCCCTTTGTATAGGAATAAATGTAAATGTGTGGTTTAGGCTTACAAGGCCTGGCATGCTCCATCCCCTGCCTACCTGCCCAGCCTCAGCTGGTGCATTCCCTCCCTGCCCTGGCGCTCTGCCACTCACACTGGCCTTCTTTCCGCTCCCCAGACACCCCCACTGACTATGGGGTCAGCAGGAATCTATATTGAGGAAGATGAAGAACAAGAGAGAGCAAAGGTTAAGTAACAGGCTTGGTCACCGATGTATTTTTTCCTATGGCACACTATTTCTAAACCAATGTCCCAATTGGCTAATATATTACTAGATTGATGCTTTTATATATTGGGATCATATGTTAATGTGATAATGAATATTAGTGGCCGCATCTTATAGTGTAGCCATCTGAGAGGACTTACGGGTCATGAAGGAACTATTAAATGTAGTTTAGTTGAGTCTTAGCATAATGTCGTTGTATTGATTTCTCTCTTTGAGAGTTGGTCCCGCAGGCACAGTGCTCAGCCACACACTGTAGCTGAGTAAAGTGGCTGGAGGCACGAGGTGCTGAGGGTGAACTCCCCTGTGTGGCACCAGCACATCCCCGGAGCGGATGCGTGGTTCCTGGGATCTTTACTTACTTTTAGGGGATACAGTAACCGTGTCCGCTGGCTTTGGCTCTGCAGAAACTTCCTGATGCATGGCAGTTTTGATCTTTGGGATAGTAAACGTGCCATGTGATTTGGGAACAAAGCAGCTGTTTGGATCTGTATTAAGTGTGAAAAAAAATGGTCTCTCGGGATTCTCTTTACAATACGAAGGGAACACACATTTTAAATAGGATCTGTTAAAGAAAAATCAATTTGAAATAGAGACAAAGGGTGTCTTAAGGATTTAGGACGAGTAGAGCCAAGAACAGGGACCATGGTTTGGGTTTGGGTTTGGGTCTGGATTTGGTGTTGACTGCCCACAGCTCTTTCACAGTCCCCGGCAGTATTTTCTGATGTCGCATATGCAGTTTGGGGTTTTACTGGCTGTTTAGGGGGCCTCTCACTTGAGATGGTCAGCAGAGGAGGGAAGGCCAGTGTGGAGGAGCCATCCAGGAGGGAGGCCGGTGGGAAGTGCTGGCTCCCGACAGCCTCAGCTTCCCTTGCCTCGTCCAATTCCTCCAGGAAACCAGGGAGGTCTCCTCAGCACGGGACCCCCCTGACTTGCCAGGAAGCCCTCAGCTAATCTGCCCTGGGTGGCTGTGAACAAGACAGGCATGCCCTGTCCCTGCCCCCCAGGAGCCCACAGCCCGCAAGCCAGGACTTCAGCAAACAACTACAAAGTGCATTTTCACACTTGGAAGGGTAAGGGAGCTGGGACAGGAGAGAGGAGGGCAGGCTCTCTCTGTGGACTCAGGTTGAGAACTGGAGGATGTGTCTAGGTTGGTGGCATGGGGTGGGGGGTAAGGGAGTGTCCCCAGGGAGCTGGCACCACCTCCCTTACTAGCAGGACTCTGTCCCTAGAAGCTGCCACAGCAGAAAGTCTGCAGTGAAAACACCCAGTCTCCCTGTAGGATAAGCTGCAGGGGCTGCGATTTCCCCGTGTCCACTAACAGCAGGTGCACCGTGCCTGAGTGACATCAGCGTGTTCAGCGTGCCTGAGTGTGACATTAGCACATGCACTGTGCCCAAGTGTGACATCAGTGTGTTCACTGTGCCTGAGTGTGACATCCACACGTGCACTGTGCCCGAGTGTGACATCAGCACCTGGGCATGTATTTCTCTTCCTTTTGTTGGTTCCCCTCTGAGATCCCTCCTTTTGGGGGAGCCTCTGCTGGTCTCCTTCCTGAGAACATAGCTTACGGGGTGGAGGGGAGCATGTATTATTCCCTGGAAGACTCTTACATGGCTTTTTGGTGAGGCATTTGAGCATCTTCAGAGAATCTTGCTGAGTGTGGCCAGCAGCTCCTAGAAGGAAGGAACTGCCTCTGCCCATTGCCTTCTTGACTGGGAGTCGTCACTACACATGTCGCGTCTGTCCCAGCCAGAGCGCAGTTTGAGGGCAGGCTCTCTGTCTGCTCTTGGTGCCCAGCATGCTGACTTGGCACAAACCTGGCTCTCAGCAATAGTTGACAAATGAAAGAAGGGATTCTGCAAATCCAAATGCCCTTGTAGTGCAGAGGCTTGGTTTCAGGAATGTGAAATAGAACCATTGCCTGATTCATCTATTTATCATCCGCCCGTGTAGAGGCAGCTCTGGAGGACCCACTGCTTAACCGTGAACCGAAACACCATGCCGGGTGCATGGTAAGTTCACAGTCCATCGTGGTTAGCAGAGAGAAGGCGCAAAACCGGCTCTGGCGTCTGGGTCCCTTCATGTCCCACCGAACATGCAGGAGCCCCAGTGTTCCACCTCTCCTGTCATTCAGAAGCGACAGTCCAGGGTACCAGGCTGTGAGTGTGTCTGCTTCTCTTCAGACACATAGGGGGAAACTGGGGGCATGTGCTCTGCCATGTGGAGTGACCAAGGACAGCTCACTGGCCATCTGCACAGAGCCTGGGTGAACAGAACTGACAGGGAGCAATTCAATTTCAGGGTGTTCTGACTGGATTTTTAAAAACTTAACAAATTAAGGATGAAAGTAATTTGAAGCATCTAGGTTTCTATCTGCTGTTTCTGAGAAGACAGAGGGTTTCTTTTATGAAAGCGAATGGAGCATTTCTGCAGACCTGAAAAATCTGAGCCTGTGATGCAAAACAGAACCTACAAGTCAATTGTGGCCCGGGTGCCAGTATGGCTGGCCCACACAGGGTCCTCGAAACCTGCAAATAGCACATTAAATCTAGCTTTCTGG